GTCTAGAGCTGCTTTCAAGTGTTATTTCAAGAACAGAATTCTTGTGTGGAAGAATGCAATGCTTAATATACATCTAAAATGCCAGAAAACCAACAAACCTGGGATTCCTCAAGGCTCAAATTCAAAGTAACTTAAACCCCTGACTGAAGAAAGCACTTCCTAATGGTTTATATTAATTATAAATATTCTTTTAGATTATGAATAGAATAATCAACAGAAAATTACAGCAAACACTGTACCATTGTCTACCATTCTGGGGGAAAATGCATACTTTTGGAGTCTTTCAAACACAAATTCTGTTCTAAGATTGTATCTGATTTTTGGCTCTTAGCATATTTTCATATGGTTGTTTCTGTTTTGTTTTCACTTTACAATTCCTTACAATGTATTTGTTGTGGTCTGCTGGCAGCCGGCTGAGCTGGCAGAAGAGTCAGACAGTGAGGAGGCTGGGGAGGAACAGGCCAGTCCTGGAGTCCGGGGAAGGCTCGGATGAGGGTTCGGCATCAGAGCAGAGATGGGGCCAGGGCCGTCTGGGAGTTATGTGCTGACTCCGGAGCCTCTAGAGTCTGACATCAGCGAGGGAGAGGTACAGGGGGAGCCTGTTCCCAGTGCACTCACGTGCAGAGCTGTCAGAAGACAAGAACAGTTAAGACAAAAGGGACGATTCGGGAGTAGGGCTTGGAGATGATTGGCCTCTCCCATAAGACATAAAGGTGGAGCAAAGGGACATGAGCCTTTGCAGGAAGCAACTTTGTTCGTTCTGGTCGGTTTAAACTCTGAAGATCCGTTATGACTTTGTGCTCTGTTTGGCCTTGCAAAGCTAATGGACAATTAGGTCTTTGGGAGTGTTTCAAGGGAGATAAAGGGGGTGCTTATCAGCCTTACCCCAAAAGACTGTGGCAGACTTTTGTCAGACTATTCACAAACTGCTTGGGACTCATTACGGGCTGTGAATGAACATAATTCACAGCTGTTGAAATAAAAAGAGGGTTTTAAGGACTAAACGTGTGATTGTTACTGTCTCAGGAAGCCTTGGTCAGAACAATATTTGAAGGAAACTTTTTGTGCCAGTTTCAAAATACTAATTGCTTTTCCCACCCCTGGAGCTGCCACAGCTCTAGGTGTAACAAAAATGCCCTTGTCTCATTCCACAAAAAACAAGATAAATTATTTGCCAGCAAATTCCCCCCCCCTCCAAGTTTTTAATACATGGGTACATTTTTCTGACTATTTGAAAATACACACAAACAGACATATTATAAAAAGTAGTCAGACTGCTGTGATGACACAAACTTTTCGGTTAAGATGTCTCAGCTAGCTACAGTGATGGAATGGTAACATGGCAATATTTTTACAATTGCATTATTTGCACAATTGTGCTAACTTGATTTCTAGAGCCTCTAGGGATATGACAGAGAAAAAGTGAATTAACGGCTCACTTAAACCAGAGGGGCTGGGAAATAAGGCCGAGGCAAGAGAACCCTTTATTCTACTTCCACAAGCAGGGAAAAATAAACCTTTAATCAATTGTGTTTATCAATCAGGAAACTGTTGAGAAGGGTTAAGAACATGAATCACTTAGAATAATGGTTCTCAATCTGTGGTTCACAGACCCCTGAAGGGCTGTGATGTCATCACAGAGCATCCGTAAAGGCTTGGAGAAATGTAATGGTTTAAATCTTGAGTTATATCTTGGGGGTCCACAAAAGATATTAAAGGGGGTCTGTTGTGAAGAAAAGGTTGAAAAGGTTGCTTCTATCCCTTTCTTAGTGAAAGCTGCAGTGAAGATTGATGATGGACAAAGGAACTAGGATGACAAAACAAGAGCAGAGCCACAAGTCCCAACATTGTCAAACAAGGAAACAAGCAAGAAAGCTTTACTCAGTTTTAGTTATACTGGAAGGAAACCAGAACATATTCTGATTTAATCCTTCCAATTCAAAGAGATTGGAATAGGCAGGTCTGAACAAGGAGTGGCAGGAGAGCCCATAGTTTATTATGGACATATTTAAGGACATTTACAATGAAACATCCTAAGGAAAAGCTCATTTCAGTCTGTAAATATAAATTATATACCATGGACCCGTGATGGCGAACCTATGGCACGCGTGCCACAGGTGGCACGCAGAGCCATATTAGTGGGCACGCCAGCTCAGCTCTGGGGCGCATGCGCGTGCCGGCCAGCTGATTTTTGGGCCTTCTGGGCCCACCAGAAGTAGGGAAACAGGCTGTTTCCTGCCTCTGGAGGGCCTGGGAGGGGTGGGGAAGGCCCGTTTTTCTTTCTTACCTGGCTCCAGATCCTCTCTATGCATCTGGGAAGGGTGAAAACAGCCTTTCCCACTCCCTTGGAGGCCCTACGGAGGCTGAAAGGGCCCATTTCCCGACTCCCGGTGGGACAGGAAGTGACTTTTTTTGTTGTCCCCAGCCTCCAGAGACTCCTAGAGAGGCTTCTAGAGACTCCTAGAGATGTTCTGGAGGCTGGGGACAGCAAAAAATGTCACTTCCTGTCCCACCGAGAGTTGGGAAATGGGCCCTTTCAGCCTCCGTAGGGCCTCCAAGGGAGCGGGAAAGGCTGTTTTCGCCCTTCCCAGATGCATAGAGAGGATCTGGAACCAGGTAAGAAAGAAAAACGGGCCTACCAGGCCATCATGTGCCAGGAACGGGGGGGGTAAGGGGTGGGGGGTTGCATGCATATGCGCGTGGGCATGTGCACACGCGACCCTCCCCTGCCCCCGCTCTCCTGGCACGCGATGGCAAAAAGGATAGCCATCACTGCCATAGACACAGAGTACATTTATATATGCATATTCATTCAAAATAATTCTGGACTCTTACAATGTACTCCCATAGTTAAGGTTACCTATATGGAGGTATAGGTATAGAACCCTGTTATTTCTCATCCCCAAATAAATAATTAAAAGATTACAAAGTTGCCACCCAGATGTGGCCCTCTCCTAAAGCATAATGAAAAGCCCCAAACACTGCAAGGAAACTCAAAAGTTTAAATTAGATGCTATCTGTCTTTCTGTCAAAGATTAAATTAAAGACTCATAGCATTACTTATCTCTTTATCAACATTTTTGGATGTGCAGTTGTGGATTAAATAAAATTCTATGAGAATAAATGTAACAGTCTCATTTTTGAATCCTGTAGTGAGTGGATACTATTGCAACACACACATTTTTAAGACACATATTCTGAAATGTTGGCCATGACATATCAATTTGGCATCTCAAAACGCAACAGTATTTACATTTGTAATAGCATGTGGACAAACAAGTTATCCTCCTACTCTTCCCACCTATCAACAGAGGAGCCAGCAATTGTACTTGAGTTACAAACCCAAGCAAAAAAATTCTAAATAAGATGTCTATGCATTTTGAAAGCATGGAATAAAAGCAATCCTCCTGTTGCTCTCAGTAAATAGTTAATGAATCTCAAGGCTAGGCAGTAAAAAATGTAATATACAGAAGGAGGAATGTGAACTGCTCCTAAAACCACAGTTTAAAAAAGGCAGAATCTTGATGGAAATCAGGGAACCATTCATTCACCATTCTATTTCCCTTTTAACTTTAGCACAATTCAACAGTTATAATTTTGAATACTCAAAAAATATAACGCAACCTTTCCTGAAAAATATTGCAGCTTTGTTACCGTGATACCTGATTGCAATTTTTAAAAGCTTAATATAAATACTTTTTCAAGCCATGTCAAATCAGATATTCCACAATACCATTCACTAGTAATATGCATACTTTAGAAAGTACCTTATTCGAGGGGAAAGGGAGTTGAAAATGCAATATAGATGCCTCGTCAGTTTCCTGCTTGCAGAGCATTAATACTGTACAGCGCTGTAGTGTAAAACGAGCCACGGAAACAAAACAGGGTTAACAGTTCCTGCCTAGTTAGTTAATAAGCAAACACTATCTCTGGGCTTCCCACGCACAGTCCGATAGGATCCAAGAATGTCTCTAGCCATCACGCCCCTTTATTGCTTTTCAATCAGTCCAGAGACTCTGTGTGTGTGTGTGTGTGTGTGTGAGAGAGACAGAGAGAGAGAGAGAGAGAGACAGAGAGATGACAGTATGTTGTGTGAATAAACATTTGTGTAATTAGATCTGTCTTATAATTCTGGTAATATATTTTATTTTGTAGAATATTAATTAACTGAACTAAACAACCAGATTTTGTTCTCTTCCTTCACCCAGTTCCTCCCAGCGCCACCCACTTAATTGCAATTCGCTTTGGCCAACATAATCAGAGCTGGTCAAAGAAATCTGGAGGGCTCGGAAGGGCTAACCCGCGATTATTTTCCTCCACGATCTCCGATCCATTTCGCCGAAAAGCAGCTTTCCATTGGCACATTTACCTCCAGGTAAATGGGGAGGTGGGGGAGAGCAAAGCAGAAAGGCGCACAGGTCGGGGCGCTCGCCACGGTGCCTCACCTGGCGCTCAGCCAATGGTCTGGTCCCGCCTTGAGCGAAGCGGCCCGGGCAAGGAGAGACGGGTCTCCTACGAGCAGCAACAGGACAGCGAAAAGCGAGTTGCGAAGTAGCGGGGAGATACCAAAGAGGCGGCGTCTTCCTTGATTTTTCGTTTTGCCGTAGCAGCTCAACGCTGGCGGGAGAGCGCCGTCCTTTCAGTTCAGCTGGGCTTCTACAGCGATTCAATTCCCTCGGCTCGTCACTCAAGCCCAGATGAGCCCTCCTCAGTCACTCCCATCTCACAGGGTTTCCCCCTCCCTTCCTCCGTCTATCTACATACACACACGTCCCCTCTCCTCGCTATAGAACAGATTGGGGGGGTGGGGTGGAGAGGGGGGAGCCTCACTTCCTCTTCAAATGCATTCTCTTAATTGCCCCACCCCGTTATGAAATGACCTCTCAGGCGCCGCAGACCCTTTTCCCATTGCATGCCAAAATGCAAAGCGCGGCTTCCTGCAGCATCGCATTTTTGTACGTTTGTACTGTTTGGATCTCGGCGCAAACGAGTGAGTCTGTTCGTGCATGCGCGCGAGGGCGCGCGTGTAATAACGACAGCTCAGTGGGGACATAGCCAACATATTTTCTAGCTGAGGCATTTTGGACGGGTTTAAAAAAAAAAAAGCAACGAAGAGTTTCTCACAGCCTGGCGTGTCTAATCCGTCTCTTCCTTTTTTTTAACAGCACAGGAGATTAAACCGTTTTGGAGCTGCTTTTCCTAGGTCAGATGTGATGCATCTTGGAGTTGTGCTGTTTACTTTTTCCTCAAATGTTTGGGAATTGTGAGACTTGCTTTTCAGACGCTTGGGACATGTTACTGCTGATATTTCTGGGCCAACCAAGCTCTTTTTTTTTTTTTACTTGTAAGAAGATGTGGTGGTAGTCCTCAGGGTAAAATTCCTTAGAAGATAAATAGTAAACTTGTAGCAAAAACAAGTAGTGAAAGGGAATTCTGCAGTGTTTCACGGGAAAGATCAATTTGCTCTCAAAAGGGCCAGATTATCTCCTTAAACAACAGTCTCTCCATAAGTATTACCAATGTACCCTAAAATTCGGACATAAAAGTATATCTGACTGCATCCTTATTCATTAAAGAAATGTATGGCCCCAGCTACACTGTAGTGGTCTGTAGTGATAGTTCATTTATGTAAATAAATCAGAATTATTGTTTTTTACCTTGTAGGGGAGATGGGCAGCATAAACATTTAATAAATAAATAAACCCATTTTCTGAGTAGTGCCTGTTCTTAAGGCAAAAATTATTTATTCGAAGATTAGTTTAAAAATGACCTTAAACAAGCAATCCTACTCAACTTTACTCACAGGAAAGGTACTGTAACACCCAGATTTTAGAGAGTGAGTTTTGGTTGCACCCAACGTTTCATGTTATAGGCCTGCATACCGATTCAGTGGGATTTTCTCCCATGTAAATGTGTAGTGAACTGCACTCTTGGAACAGTGCTCTAGTAATGTTATGATACTTTAAAACTACATTACTGATTTTTCATTGTTTGGCCTCCAAACTTGCATTTCTGGTTTATTAAAATCAGCGATAGTTTTGCTATTACTTCGAAGATAATAGATTCTAATCTGATTACTGGTTTTTTTATACAGTCAAATATTTTTTGCTTTTGCAGTCTCCTGAATATTATTTCTAACAATTCTGTACATAGGGGCTGTCAGAATTAATATTTTGGAACATTTGAATGTTTTACATTTACATATTTTAAAACACACTATTTTGATTCTAAATTCTTTTCTAATTACAGAGCTCCAGCATGCGTTTTGTATTAGGCGGCTTAGTGAACATTTGGGGAATCAGTGGAGACTATTCTGGAACACAACTGCCATTCCAAAACCAGATGGGAAAAATAAAATTTACAAAAGACTTGGACAGTAGTGTTCAAAGATTTGAAGTATAAGATAAAAGCCTTAAAAAGCATTAAAATTATTTTGCATGTCAGAAGTGTAGAGAAAAATATGGAAAGAGAGCAAAGAATAAAATTAATCCATCTGTTTAGTTCATGTTTAAACTATATGCATTCAGCCAAAAGTCAGTCATTTTATTTTTCCATTTCATAGAGTGCATAAGAATTTAAATATGCTCATATAAAATGTGTTGCTCCATTAGGAAAAGTACTTGTTGAATTATAGCAATATATTGCCCAGGAGTTTACATACCACTAATATAATTTAAAATGTTTAAGTTATATGTTCAAATTTTTCATCTTCAGACTTACTTCCATAATTGGATATTTTAGTAATTTGAGCTCAGTAAGTCTGAGATAGTCTTTTCTTTGCTGCCAGGAAAGTCCAAATATAGAAAGATGCCAAAGCCTCATAAAATAGTAACATTTGCTCCTTCTTTTTGAATCACACTTAAACTTATACTTAATTGCAGATAATAGTACCTCAGTCAAAACAATTGTGGTAGAAAAGGAATCTGAACTGAAGGAATAGAAAGCACAAATCCCTTTTGTACTGGTAATTTCGCCATTCAAAAACTCGTATTCTATTTTCTTGATACATAGTTACGACAATAAACCCGCATTTGCAACCTTGCTTGCAAGAAGGAAGTAGAATGATTGGTGCAGAATCAATTTTGATAAAAGTGTGTGTGTGGACCTCATGAGGAATAACAATCTTTCCTTCCCATTCACATCAATGGTTTGTCCTATCTTTCAAAATTTGTTCTGCTGATTACAGTAGAATCTCTGGTTATGAACGCTTCTGACCATGACAAAATCGGGTTCCTACCAAAAAATTCAGTTGTTTTTTTTGCAGCCGATTTTCCCTTCCATGCCATTTTTTTTGTAAGCGCCAAATTTCCAAAATTAGGTTTGCGTCATGACCAAATCGGTTTGCGACCAAAGTTATGGAGCGAATTATGGTCATGACCAGGGGTTCTACTGTATATTAAAACTTTCCCACCTGGTAATGTTGCATTTGAAATTAGCCCCTCAGGCCTTTTTTTTCTTAACAGATTTTAGATCTGCCTAATAGCATAAGAAAGAAAGAATTTGAGGAGAGAAAGAAAGAAAGGGAGAAAATTTTCAGTGTATGAGCAGCTGTGGGGAGTACGTGGGGCTCAGGACCCATCATTTTGATCAACAACATTGTGTTGCATCCTCTGGCCCCCCCTTTTTTTTTTTTTAATTTGATTTATATGCCGCCCTTCTCCGGAGACTCAGGGCGGCTTACAATGCGTTAAGCAATAGCCTTTATACTTTTGTATATTTATACAAAGTCAGCTTATTGCCCCCACAATCCGGGTCCTCATTTTACCTACCTTAGAAAGGATGGAAGGCTGAGTCAACCTTGAGCCTGGTGAGATTCGAACCTGCAGTAATTGCAGGTAGCTGTGTTAATAACAGGGTGCATTAAACCACTGTACTACCAAGGCTCCTTTTGATCATCATGTGTATGAAAGGAGCAGAGTACAATATCACAACACTGCTTCAATCATTTGCCCTTCTTCCCGTCTCTGTGATGCCTCTAGTATCATCCTCAGCCCCTGGACTCTCCAAACATTCCAAGGGAAATGCGCCATCTCTGTTGGATGGTCCTGGTTCCCTCTTCTTCCTTCGAACTGGGCTCCGATGGGGCCATGACATTGCCAGAGGACTGGAAAGGAGCTGATGTGGTTCTAATCTTCAAACAGGGAAAAAATAGGTCCAGGAAACATACCAATCAGCCTGACATCGATACCTGGGAAAATCCTGGAAAACATAAGCAACAGATTTGCAAGCACCTAGAAATGACCAAAATGATTACTAAAAGCCAACATGGGTTTGTTAGAAACAGACCATACCAGACAAATCTTATTGCCTTCTTTGATTTACAAAGGATTAGAGAAATGCTGTGGACATAGTTTACTTAGACTTCAGTAAGGCATTTGACAAAGTAGATTACAGCCTACTTTTTGGAAAGATCAAAAAATGTGTGTAGGAGAAGACCAGGCTAAGCCTGAGGGAGGAGTCAAATACATCATCAGTTTAGAGTTCTATCATACCCACAAGAGATCTATGTTTTGCCCTCCTTGAATTCCATTGACTCTTATCTACCAACAATTTGCCTTGACTGTTAGTATTCTTGTTTAGAGTTAGCACGAAATAAACTTGTATTCATTTTGGACCCAACCATGGCACCCAATTTCTTTTGCCTGATGATGTGGGACAGCATCACCACCAGATGGATTCACAACTAGCTAACCAACTGCACTCAACATAGTCCTCAATGAAACTATATCTACAAGGAGGGAAGCATGCAGTGAGGTACCTCAAGCATTGTCTTAGGCCCAGTACTCTTCAATATCTTTATAAATAATTTAGATCAGAGGATAGAAAGGGAACTCATCAAATTTGCAGATAACAACAAGCTGGGGGGAATTTCCAAATATTAGAAGATATACTCAAAATTCAAAAGGACCTTGACAGACTTGAGCATTGGACTCAATTCAACAAGATGTGGTTCAGTGGTTAAAAAACATCAGTTGCTGATATTTAATCCTCTTGGCCTATGGAAGTTACACAGAGAAAATATAGCATCCATGAATTCATTGTGTGTGGCTGGAAGAACCTAGCTTTAAATCAACATGAAACTAATCTGAAACATAGTACAATCATTTTAGAAGAAAGGTGACATGTTTCAACCCAAATGGGTATATCTGACAATTGGTATTGTAGCATTGGCTTACAATGGAAATTCTAGGTTTCAGATCCTGTTTGAAAAGGGAAATCAGGGGAATCTGAAATAGCTTTAAAAATGTTTTACACTGATTGCTGCTTTATTAATTCATATGATGTTGTTTCAAACCGAATCATTGGACAGTACACTTCTCTTCATTCAAATGCCCTTGCTTCAAGACATTGTTCAAAACAGCAATCTTCAATCATTTATAAATCTATAATTTATGTATTAATTATGCATGAGGTCCCCCAGGTAATCTGTAAAAACCTGTTAAAAACATATAAAAAAAACTGATATAAAATAATAAAAACTGCCTCATCATTGTCATACATTAGGAAGCTGAACACCTCTCTAAAATGATTAGCATGGCAAACCACTTTAGTATCATTGCCAAGAAGACTGCATGGACATCCCAACATAGATACTAGGAGCTGAATTTTACTCGAAACATTCCTTTGATACTACTAATTATAACAATAATAAATACTGCAAAATATATCATAGCAACTATATAGTTCAGTAACTCTAAAGTAGTTTCTAAAATGCTTGAGGAAACATCTTCCACAACATCATATTAAAAAATGTAATTGGTAAGTGAGTTTGTTGGTAGAGGGCATTCCACTTTTGGAATAGTTCTCAAGAACTGTTCTCCTGTTTTGCTTTCTTTCAATGGAAAAGGATCTTGGATAATAACTGTAATTAGATAAAGCTAAAGGCTCAGCATTTTAAACTCATTTTTGTTACTTTTAGATAAAGCATTACCAGACCTTAGCTGCAAACATCCAGGCAATTTTTAGATAGCATCAAAGAGTTTCCTGAATCTCATTGCTACCTTCCAGTAGTTGTAGCTCTTTGTGACCTTCTAACGTTGCAGCCTAGGTATGGTCTGGTGGCACAGCAATTAAAGTGCAGTATTGCAGTCAAACTTTGCCCACAGCTTGGAGTTCAATCCTGATGGGGCTCAAGGTTGACTCAGACTTCCATCCTTCTGAGATCAGTAAAATGAGGTCCCAGATTATGGGGCAACATGCAAATAATGCTTATAATGTAAAACGCCCAGAGAGTTCTGTAAAGTGTTATGGGGCATTGGGACGGTATTTAAGCCTAAATGCTATTGTTATGGTAGCCTAGATTGGCAATCAATGTAGATAGCAAAGCCCTGGATAATGTATTATTCATCAGTCTATTTTATACTAAATCAAGTCTCAAGACCTTTTCAAACACAGCCAGATGCATAACTTGTAATAATCCAAATCTATCATTATCAGAATGTAACTGTAGCACAACTAATTAAATCTAGTTGAATATGATAAAAGGCACATGATATTTGGCAAATGATAAAAGGGACTCCAAAACACTTCCTTGAATCTCTGGTCCAGAAGTATCTCCAGACTGAGAAGCTGATTCTATAGGGTGGCAACCTTCTCTCAAACACCATATAATCAAAGAGATCAACTACCTACAGATAATATCTCAGCCTTTTCTGGCATCTCACTTTCTGGACTGAGATTTCAGCTCTGTTACATTGTTGAAATATTCATACCAAACATCAACTACATCATCTGTGTTGGGTGAAAAACAGAAGATGTCGTTCTTAGCAGTTACAATTCAGCCTTCAGCTCCTAATTGGTAGAAGATCTACATCTACATCTACATCCCATGTAGATGTAACAAAAGAAAAAGAAAAGAAAAGAGAAAAAGAGTGCTAAATTTTTTAGCACTCCTAGAACCATAGCTGAAATCTTGAATATATTTTAGAGGGGGAGGGGTGGGAATCAAAAGACCTTTCCTAGCTGTAAACACAGTCTTTGTGATTTCTGAGTAATAGGTTAACACAGGAATTCAATAAATAATTATATTCCATAAAGTGTAATTTTAAAATAATTTTACTCAATGTCAACATAGAGTATGTAAAGAAAAAATATATACAGTACTATTTTCAGAAAGCAACAGTATTGGAAATCAATACAAATTTTCTTAGTGTCAAAATTAAGTGTTATGATTTATGGTGAATCACCATGGAATATAAACTTCCTTATGTGGGGAAAAGATTGGTGAATCTAGAAAAAAAGTATAGTGGCATCACATCACTTAAAGTGACATATTATGAAGGCCAAGGACTCCCCAAATGTAGCATATGATTGTGAAAGCTGGATCTTGAGAAAGGTTGAAAAACTGATGTCTTTGAATTGTGGTGCTGGAGAAAATTGTTGGAAATACCTTAGAATGAAGAACAATAGGTTGAATACCAGATGAAGTAAAACTGGACAACTCAATGAAAGGATAAATAATGAAGTTAAAACTTTAATAATTTAGATACATAATGAGAAA